TCAGAAGCCTACAGTCGCGTATAACAAAACACTCTTTTGGTATATTATTAAAACGCGCTTGTGATTATTAAACGAGGGATTTTTTTTTTTTATATTTTAACGCTGTACGAGTACATTATATGAATAATGAATAATGAATAATTATATGAATGTACAATTATGATAACTATTTGTGAAATGTTTTTGCTTTGATTTTCTCGGTATTACATTGGAATAAAATGAAATGTAATCAGGATTATTTTGTAAGACAGTTTAGTAGAAAATAAATATTAATTTGCAGCGAATAATCTTTAGCACGATTTTCACATGGTCTTAATCGTTAACCTATTCCAACCCAACAGCTACACAACGACAACGATCGTCTAACGTCGTTTAAATGTAACATTGAATGACCACAGATTATTATACGCTGTTATGATTGTACACAGCCAACGCGTCAAGTGCGTAAACAAACTGCAATTTGAAACTACAGTAACGCGTTCGTTGCTGTCGGAATGGTTTTCTGAGATCGATAAAAATATAAAAACTAAACAAAACACGTCGATTCGCGTTAACTGGTCTCTCGGGGCCGCCGGCTGTTCGTCGGTCTAGCGGTCGCCAACGATTATGATTAACAATAATAACACTACGTTTGAAACAAAAATTCGTCGACACGAAATAACCGTGATATAATAATGATAATGCACGCATGTCCGCATGTCATGATAATCGTATTCAACATTTTATTGTGATCATTACTACGTGGCCGTCTCGCAGCGTCACGGATCTCGTTCGCATTCAGCTGCCGGAAATCGCAACCCATCCTCGCGACAAAGTGTACGAAAACCGCACGCGTACAAATTATTATAATTTATGCGTTTTGTTCGCAAGTGCAGAGCAACGTTTTCGTGGCATCGACATAACGTTGCTGTCGAGCGTTTTTGAAACGTCCACCTCGTAAATTTGGCTGTCGAACGTATTATTATTATTATTGCTTAGATCCGTGGCGCAGAGTTCAAATCTTCGAAGTGCTACATTACGAACCCACAACTCCCACCCCAAACATTACATACAACCAATTTTATACAATTATTATATTCGCAATACCGTTATAAGAAAAAAAATTTGACACGTTTTATTTTTGTATTATAGTATTTTATGATATTAGAATTTTAAGCGTCGAACGTAATTTCCTATCGATATTAGCAAACGTGTTCAACAGAACAATGTCATTAACTGTAAATATTTTTAATTTGCAATGGTTATGGAACACGCTTTAAATTGAGTTGGAGGTGCTTAAGCAACACACTCGTAGTTACGGCGCATAGATGCGCTGTTACAACCGTTATTGCTGTGCGATCGACGCAATCTGCTCGATGTACGCAGTGCCGGATTTAGAAAATGTGACACTCGGGGGGCTGAATTTAGCGCCCACGAAAATACGTTGTACGTTCCTGAACTTTTTTTAATTTTCATAAACTTAAGAGCGTCCTTATATCAACAGCGCCCGGAGCGATCATACCCACTTGTTGTCCCCTAGATCCGTCACTGAGTGTATACGTTCATTCGTTGTCAGATGCGTCATCAAATGGGAAACATGGGGTCGTTTCCTTGATCGTTTAGATTTTATTGCAATCCAACAGATGCACCGATTCCGTTGGTAAAACTAATTTTTTGATCGTCGCTCGTTGCATCTCTGAATGTGCACTCGTCCGAGCAATGTAATGATTCGAAAACGCCGCAGGAAAAAAAAAGAAAAGAAATAACAACAACGTGATGCAAACACGCGTTCAACCGATTGAACATAATTCGGTTTCGAGAGAAGTAAACGTTGAAACTACGAATTCGCTGTGATCACGGTGTGCAGTATGTACTCGCGTTTAATATTTTTTGTTATACCATTATATTACGATACATGGGTTGTGGTTCTTGTTCTCGGACCATTGTACAACACGGGATTGCAAACGGCGATGAAAAAATTGGGAAATTCGATTCGGTCAGAAGATTTGAGCTTGAATCATATAATACGACGGTAAATCGCGTAAAAAAAATCTGAAATATCAACGCGCCCAGTTCGAACCGTTTCCGTAATAATTATTGTAATGTTGTGATCGCGTTATGCAACAGTGCTATCGTTTGTATTATGTATTATTATTATTATTATTATGGCATTATACCCGTGCAATTATAAACGTACCTGTGTCGACTAAATAATACAATCAAATCTCTATTTAACAAACTCCTGTTTAACAAAACTCTTTACGTGATCATTTTTTTACAAAACATAGAAGCAATCTGTTTGGCGAATACATCGGCTATATAACGAATTGATTTAATAATATTATTATTATTCTGCAGTAAATATTATTTATGTTTAAATTATAATTATTATTATTATTTTTTTAATTATATTATACAGTATAATATAATAAAAAATAAATAAAAAAAAACTATTGAATCACGATTCGGGCGCACATCATATCGTACTCATTTTAAAATATTGTATTATTGTATTAAACCGTTCAATTTTGTTCTTATATTAGACTCATATTATTTGCGTATTATTCGTAGAGCGAAAACGAGTATTTTTAAGTGGTGAAAATTGCATTAGATTTTACCGAAATCACTATTGAACAAATGTTTTTCAGTTCATCAAACAGAGGTTCAAGTGTATAATATAACGTAGTATTGCCGTTTTGCTGTCATTCTTATCTTACACTCTTCCACTCCATCCCGATCCGGATTTTTGTCGATACGCGGAACCTCGATCGTGGCGATTCCCGTGAACTATGTGCGAAAATCATCGAGTGAAAAGGAAATTGTAGAGAATAATGTATGATACGAATCGACACCGCGACCACCTCCTGCTTACCACCGCGGTGTACGATAAATAAATTACCATAACGTGCCACGGTCCTGATGTATTATTTTTAAGTCGCAATCCCGCTAAAAAATAATGAAAAATGAAAAAAAGAAAAAATATATTCATATCCGTATTACTCGCGATAACATTTTTTTTGCACATGCATATTATGTTATTATTATTATTGTATTACGTGTACTGGCGCGTCGGTACGATAGCTCGATTGGTTTTTTTTTTTATTTATTTTTTTTTTTCTGCACCTCCGAAACCATTCGAAATTATTCTAAACGCGTTTTCGTGGAGAAAAAAAAAAACGAAAATAATACGAATTCGGTTCGGTTCGTTGCAACGCAAAATCGTACATATACGCCATTAAGTAAATAATGTTGTTTCGCGGCAACGATTCATTAGACGAGCGAGGGCAATTCCGAAATGAATAATCGCAATGCGCGCGCGTTTGTTCAATTGGTTTCACCGCTCCCGCCAACCGACACCGTTGTAAATCTCGTGTGTGACAACGGTACACGCGATGTACCACGTCGCAACAATATAGTGAAATCGTTTAAAATCTACTATATACAACTATACTACTATTTACTCGATGGTGTAGTCTGTATAGGACCGTCCACAAGCAGTAGTAGATATTATTATTATTATTATTATTATTGCACCGACGAACAAATGCACTTTAAGTTATTATCGTACACTTACATACACACGCGAACCAGTGGAGTTATGGATTGACGGATCGTTATACGGGGAAGGGTTGGAGATAGCGGACAAAGCTCGGTTGAAAATGAAATAAACCTTGTTAAGCGTAAACGCCCTGTATCTGTGTTAAAATATGATTTAAGTATATAACAATATCTATCCGTTTAGTCCATATATTTATATATACATAAACATTTATGAAATACGTTACCTTATACGTGTTTAAGGCCGAGACTTGAACCTAACCTCTTAAACTTGCTGGCCACTACCCGTTTATATTGCCCACGTAATATTATATAATAATATTGCTCAAGCGGTACATTGTAATATAATGATATGCAGTGAAACCTGCGCGAGACAAACCCTCAATGCACGGAAACAACACGGGTCTAACTAGACGGAAATTAAAGTCGGTCTCGTCACGAATTACGTCGCTGTTATCCTTCTAGACGTAAGCAGGAAACTTGTTCTGGATACCCTGTCCCGTACTCTATCCCGTTTCGGGAAGTTTCTATTGCAAGCAACGTTATATGTATTACGCAATGCATTACTACTGTTATCAGCAACATCTCAGCAAGCAAAATAGTACATCAAGTTCGCGTATTATATTATTATTCATTACGTTACGGCCCTCCCGAAACGACGGCATATATATTTTGCAATGCGATTTCGATGACCTGTCTACGCCGACTCGGTTAATTGTACATTATTGCAGTAGTTAATAAGTGATAAATAACAATATTCAATGGTTTCGATGGATAAACCATGAGAGAGTACTCTGTCATGATGTCTATCGATTTCTGTCGTCCGTGTCTGCGCCATGGTCCGAAACGGTTACGTTCTGTTTTGAGCTGTAGAACGCGATACCGTGTAACACCAAGAGTTTTTAGCCAAATATTCGAGACCGTAGCCATTGAAACTGTTGTAATTATTTATGGCACGTAGCATAACGTAATAATCGTCAGCTTGGGTTTTCGATTTTTAATTTTTTTAACTTTTTTTTTTTTAAGATGGAACCGATTTATTAACGGCATCAATAAGAAAGCGCGTATATTATTGTTACCCTTGTCACCCTCGTCCATATCATGGTATACATTCTTGTCCATGCACCCCATGGAATTCCATCGATAACAAAACGTTAATAATAATGTTCGTTTTTCCATTATCATTAAAACCTAGTTATACAAATTGAAATAAATTATTCAACGAAAAGTTCACGGTTCACCGTTTCCGCGTGGCCCGGGCTGTGTCGGTAAAAGTATTTGGAAATCATGGTTGTTCGATTTTTATTTTTTATTTTCAAAAGTCGTTTATATAACATTAATAATAATGAGAATTATGTAATCACATTTAAATGCTCTTTTGTGACTGACTAATTTAAAGTGTATTATTTGAATACAACCATTTGCTATAATTAATAATGTTTTTTTTTTCATTTCTGTTTCAGTGTTTTTGCAATGTCGACGAGGAGCCGCTCAAACCAATAAAACTAAAAAAAAATTTCAAATATACACGCGTATCGCACGTGATACTTTTACTTAAAAATTGTATTTTCTACGTTCCCATTACTACATAACATCTTTATATTTCGGTCGATCAACTTATTATTATAATTATTATTATTATTATTATTATTATTATTATTATTATTATTATTATTATTATTATTATCATTATTATTATTTTGTACACTTTTAGAACGTTAAGAATATTTGTATATTAGTTTTAAGTTTCCCATTGGATTTCTAGTCAAAATTCTCGCGTACACCCGCCACTACTGGCGTGCAACAGAACGGACGATACGGACGCTATCGTTGCTGTAAGGGATACTCGTCACATCCTAAATCCCACGTGCTCGCGACTGTTCAGCGAAACGAGAGGAACACGTTGTATTTATACACACTTTGTGCAGTCATCTTTGCCATCTGTCGTTGGCGCAGTGCTCTTTTATTTGACCTGCGTCCTGAACGCGCAACAACCCTTTTGTCCGTATCGGCGTCACGGTGATTCTCACCACCGCCGTTTTGAATGTTTGTACGAAAATATATGCGTGTGTACACCTGAACGCATATTGCGTATATATACGTGTAATCCGTACATATGTAAGTGTATCCGGTTCGCGACCGTTTTTCAGCTGTAAGCCAAAATTAATCTAGTTAGTGTATAGAGAAACGTGTACTTTTTCGCACGGGTACTAAAAAAAAAAAAAAAATTGACTTTTCCAGTGCTTCGATTTTTTTCTTCTATTTTTTTTTTCTCTTTCAGCATTTATCCCACCTGCATACGAATTTTTAAATTATATAACATTGTGCAAGATCTATGTATTTTATCTTTAAACAATGTATTAAAAATAAAAAAAAAAACACGACATTTTTTTTATCACCTTACGTTTGGATTGCTCTGAGATATTAATTACAATATTAACTAACCTTTATTATTATTAACATAACATTCTAAGCACACGGGTTTCCGACTTTCTTTTTTGTCCGGGCGATCTAGTCATGTTAAATACTTCATTTTATATAAATATATAAGATAAATTATATATTCTCAGCTGTGATAATATATTTAATATGATTTATAATTTGTGTCGATATTTCCTGTACATTTTTTGACCCCGCTCCGTGACATTATTGATTAACGTTGAGTTTAATGATATCCAAATGAACTTTGTGTTAAGCCAATTATGTCAAATTTTTGTATAGAAGTTTTTTTATTTATTTATTTATACGTATACATATATATATATTTTTTTTTATTTATTTATTATTTATAACTATTTGTATATTTTGTCGTTATTCATCGTACAATATAAAATAACTGTTCACTCAAACATGCAGTACGATATTATTGACCCGTATGATACCCGTGATACGGTAAAAAAAAAATCACACTATCATGGTGCGGTTTCCTGAACCGCTTCGTTTCAGTCGTTTCGGTGTTTATATCACCACAATTTTAAATTATACTATCAAATTATTTGTGGAAATATTATCACTTTAGTATCAAATTTCATTTGACAATCATTTTCGATTCAAATTTAATACGTTTAAAGAAATTAATTTTTTTTTTTAATAACTTTAATGATATATCGTGAGAATTTCTACTTGAGCTTTGATAAGCCTTGAAGCGTTGAAAAATAAATGTTCAAACTCCGAAATCATCTATATATTTTAATAGACATAATTTAAAGCAAAATAAAAATAAAACCTAATTTAAAATGTTTAAATAAAAATTACCAAAGTAAAAATAACTCTTCAGTATGTGCCTAAAACTAAATTCATTAAATTAAAAATCATACATGGAATTTCATTTTTTTTGTGAAAATTCGCTCATTATAAGGCATTATTAATTTTTAATCATAAATAACGAAAAAATAAAAATAAAGGACTCTGTCGATTTCTGATAAGAAAAATAGTTACGTAAATAGTACGGGGTGCGGTCTGCGGACCGTTGATCACATCTAAGCAGCTGTGACGAGCAGAGCCTAAAATAACGATAGTTTTCATTTTAACGCTATCTACACGGAGAGGTAAATTATACCTTCGCGATCGTTTCATCAAAACCTTATCATTTGAACAAAAACAAAAAACTGCAGCAGTCTGATTACAGGTCATGTGCCCGTATACGGGCCAACTCCCTTTGGTCCGGGCCGGAGCCCACCCGGGTACTGGAAAAATATCATCTTATCCATTTGGTGTCTGACAATTCACACTTGTCCGTGCCGGTTCAGATCTAATTTTGGAATCACTGGGAACGAATCGCTTTTACTGCTATTTCATGCCATCACTAGAACGTGATATGTACAACGATTATACCGTCGAACTACAACGCGATTGCTGTACCGTCGTAAATTTGAAATGGCATATAATCTGGTGCACATTCATTGTTTATGGCATAATTAGAAATCAATAATAAATAATAACCAACATAAGTGTATTTTCTATGATTTTTCTTCAAAATATGAGTCTTATAACCGAATTTTTTTTCTCGTCGTCTTTGGATACGTTCCGGGAGAAATTGAGGCGGTTAAGCGGCTAAACCTTGTATCCGTGAGTCTTATAAACTGCGTCTACCGTATAAACTTAATTGCAATAGTAATACATTTTACATAGTTAAGACAAAAAAAATTTTAAAATATAGATATAAAGTTCACATTTTTGAAATCAAATTAACAAAGACTGCCCCACCGATGAGTTCTTCATTCGAAACCGGTCATTAAATACACATATATTAATACTCCAAACTACGAATTTTTTTTATTTTTACATATAAACAATTTATTTGTATATTTATTCACGAGTATTAACTTTTTAGTATTCATTTTATTTTATTATTTTTATTTATTTATCAATTATTATTATTAATAATTATTATCATTTATTATCAATTAAACGGACGGCAATGGCATCTTTCGAATCGTAGAAACAAAGTTATTATTCTGTTGACGAGTTTAAATTAGCCGATTGCACTGTTTCGCTCAAGAATTCAAACAATTAGTTTAGGTTGCTTGATGGCCTTTCGTCTCTTACTAATTTAACTTCCGTCCTCACACTGTGGTGATTTATACTTGCGAAAATGTTGGGCTATTAATATTTGCAAGGGAAATCATTAAAAGCCATTGATCATCAGTTTAATTCGTCATGACAAAGTGCGTGCAAATATTGTTTCAGAAAATATAGCACAATAGCGTAATATTTCCATACTTACACACATGCAAACAGAACACTGACACAAGGTATAATCTTTATGCGTTGGGGTAGTTTATTTTAAAATTTTTGGTACAAAAAAATAATGATAGGTACTTGAAAAAATAAAACTAAATTTCTAAATGTTCGTGCAAAGACTTATTTTTATATTATAACAGTTACAATTGACCGTAAAAGTATAAATCATAAGTAATCGAAGAAGATGCCTGAGAAAAATATATGAGATTCATAGAAAACAGTCATTGGGCCTGATATACTAGAATATTAAACAAAAAGTTATTTTATAATTTAATCATTATAATTTATTAAATATACCTACATGTTTTGTAAAGATAAGGTTTAAAAGTATTGTATGCACTCACTGAAATACAGATCTATATCTCATCATGACTATGATGTAACGTAAAACATCAAAATAAAAATAAACAATTTAAACGCATTATTGAAGTTTATACGAATAGTCCGTATTGACTTCCTAGAATTCCGTTCTTCTGGGTTTTAGGAAAATATTGTACAAAGCTTTCTGAATAATTAATTGAAAATTTAAAATATAACCTGTTCAAATTATTATTCATATCGAAAGGTTGATGTTAAAAGAAGCCACATAAGACTCGAAAAATAACACTTTATCCGAGATTGTATTAACAAATAATGTGTGAACTAAAAACTTCTTTCCTTTACATTAAAATATGTATTTACGTATTCTATCCTTATAGAAACAACAAAAAGAAAATATTCACTGGCAGGAAAGATAGAATCTCGAAATCGTCTTTTGTAGGTCGATTTCATAAGAATATTTTTATTTCCTGAAAAGATTCTTCTTGAACACAAAAAATACTCATGATTTATTGTTCAAACATATACATGAACTCTCTTTCCTTTTCTCACACACTTACTTCTTCTTACACACACACACACACACACTTACAGCTTACTCAATGTATGATATATATTTAAAAAACAAATTAAGATTTGGATTTAAAACAGTTGATATCATCCATCTTATTGCACTTCTATTTTATGATAAATTATTCATTCACTCCAGAACCATAAATGTTTACTTATCAACCATCTTATTGAATCTCACAATCTGTATTGTTACTACATCTATGATTTAGACCTGTATGTTTATCTATTTCCTATATATTCAACCTGATTGATGATTGATAATCTAACCTGATGGTTTGTCTTGTGTAAATGCTACATTTGAAAACTAAACCGAAAAATATACATAGAATACGAATAAGTTTTTTAAATTAATGTCAAAATCTTACCCGTAAAATACGGTACTGTTTCTGGAGTGTTTAAAAATGCAGTAGCGATATAATTAGTGATCCGCAATGAAAACCGCAATCGTTTAGCTGAAAGCAATATGTGCACAGCGATAAGTGTGCACTAGCGTTTCTTGTAGGGAAAAATATTGGATAAAATATTAAATTTCAACCTTCGACATTCGAATAGGATTTGAGCCACCATGTTAGTCAAATACAATACACAAATAATGCGCGCATGTGACCGAGTTGTATTATCTTGAGCGGTTATTGCGCGTGAATAGTATTCGGTTTATTTTTTTCGGAACGTTATTCGCAGATAGTCGTCGACAGAAGTCGCCGTACGCCCCGGAAAGCCGAGAAACAACATTCGTTCTCCGACCGGATTTTATATTAATTTCCCGGCGAATTCCTCCGTGACGCCGTTCGCCGACGATTTTTGTTTTCGAGCCCCGGACTTTGGCTCAAATACAGACATTTGACAGGAGTAACGGTCTTTAATTAATCCCAATTAATCCCATTGTTACGATGAGGGACATATCGGAGACGTCTCCGGGGCATTTGTCATCGGTTCGGGAGCCGCCAACTGGGTCTCGGCCCCCGGAAAACAATTCACCAGAACGGAATCCACTCGGCGGGTGGAACGCGAACGAAAGACGTCGGCAGACAACGGCCAAGCGGTCCACCCGTCGAATATAAAGAGTAAAAAGTTTTCCCCGTCCTGCCGATCTTGCGACGCGGAACGGCTCTCGCACGACATATTGTTCACAAAACTTTTTACGGTTCCAGTCTGCTTTCGGTGAACGATCGTTTTGGCGTCCGCGCGCCCGAGTCGACCGAGCCGCATCACGCGCGCGATAGATTTAAAGATACGCGCAACACATTTTAGTCGAACATTGTGACCGGAACGAACGGTCTCGCGAAAACGTTATCGTTACGCGATTCAAATCATTGATAAGATTCCGTTTCAAAAAATTATAGCATTTTAAACGGAAAGTTTGCCCGTGAATATGTAATGCTTATGATCAAAGCAACAAAATAAAAAAACGCGACAGCAGTACTACAGATAAAAAATAAATGAACAGTGGAATCAAAAAAAAAAAAAAATTAAAATTAAAAATTAACCCACTATTTTATTTGTTGTAAAATGTTTTAAAAATCGGAATTTATCCTCACCCTTCCCCCTTGGTCGGAAACATAGAGTCGGGTGGGAACTTTTTGTCACAACACTGTCACCCCCGGCTAAAAAATCAGACTTAGACGGTTTTGTTTTAATGACTTTTTATATTACATTTTTTTTTTTTTTTTTATTATATTCACGAGAAAGGTACTTTAAATTGAATTTTTTAAGTAATAATAAAATATACGCAGTCCTGTGTATGACTTTTGATTATTTTTTTCTAAAATAAAACGTTCAGTGATGAAATTTACAGGATCAGTTACACGAAAATGTGTAACTGCACATAAACGCAACTGACATCCGTGTGAAATAGCGTACGATTGATTTTCCTGTTCAAACTAATATGTACGATATTATTTTTATCTACGAGAATTAAATTTTCTACAGCTGCAAGTGTTCGAAATGTCTCATATCATTCGTACCC